GGTTACGTGAAAAGAAATGACATAATTGGGGTTTTGGCAAGCTGTACCACCAGAGACATTTGCTAGCTCTAGACTGGTATGAACATCTCTTCCTTATTCTGTCGGAAAGGAGGATACTAAATAGTATTGTCCCAGACACCGTAAAAAAAAACCCAACCCAAACCAAAAAAAGACATCAAGGATGTGACCTCAATAAAGTACAACTTTAGTTTGTAAAGCCCTGGCAGCTCTTCAAGAATAAGTCACCGATATGGCATTTCTTTACAGCCTTTTCTGTGATGAGGAGCTGCCATTTTACCATTCCCTTAACCCAGTCCATTCTTAAATCTCATTCTTGAGTGATGTAAACTTGTGACCAGTTTGTCATCTTCCTATAACAGAAGTTCCAACATCACCAGTGTTCTCCTAATCCACTTACAGCAGATGTAAGTATCAGAGACCAATAAAATGGTCTCCTTGATCTGTTTGTCTCCCGTCAGGCAGTAACAAAGAATTTACAACCGATCAGTTCACCCAGTCTTTGCACTGCTAATACCAAAGGAAACTGAATTTTTCTTTCATTAAAAAATTACAGACTTAGGAGTAAGGGAGGGGGAAAGGGGAAAGGCTTATAGGCCTTTCTTAGATGTGTCCGTTACCCTTCTAGTCAGCTAATGATTGAAGCAGTCTTTTTGTCAAATGTTTTTTCTGATGACACTTGAAAGACCATGTTGTGGACAGAAATGAAGGCCCAATCACCATTTAGTATAAAGTATTTTTATGAATTATAGTCTGTAGGCTGATTTCTCAGTGCTTGTCTTTCTCTAGTAGTGTAGCAGTCTGGACTTCCAAAATGCAGATTCTGATTAATGCTTTGAAAACAAGTATGACAGCTGGCAATGGAGACCAGAAGTTCTTCATAGCATCCCACTGCAGGGATGGGGACCAGTGCGTGCAAGTTGATGGGAACCTTCTGCATCTGGACTACAATGAGCTCGGTGCTCGAGCCTCTCATCCTGCAGCACAAAGTGATGGAGTAATTAAATATGTAAAAAAAAAAAAAATCTATATTTTTGCTATAGTAAATCTTGCAGCATTCACACAATGAGACATGGAAATTTTGGATTAAGGAAGCAGATGTGAGCAAGAAATCTTACCTTTGTGTAGATAACTTGCTTTATAACGGCATGTCCCTGAGTACGGCTCTCTGTGCTGAGGATCACATCTGGTACAGTGCAGCTCTTCAGCCTTGGAGCAAACTTGTGTGAGAAAGAGCAGTGGTTAGAAATACCGGTGAGAAGCACTGGGAGTTGCTTTTAAGTTCAGGTCTTTGCCCTTGACTTGACTTGTAGGCTTGATCTTACACCTGCCTCCTGACTGTGGATTTACCTGGTGATCTGGACTTTTGGCTGACCATGGTTACTGTCACTGGACCTGCTCTGCTCTTCTCATTTGGATCCTGTAGAAACACACTGCATTTCAGTGGGGTCACTGCCTCTGCTTGCCTTGTTGTCACCCTTGGCTCTCATCTTGCCTTTCCTCTTGGGGCAGCACCTGCACTTGCTGCTTGCTGACACCTAAGATTCAGGTCAAATAAACGTTGCTGGAGTAATCTCAGTGCAAGATAGCCTGAGTCTGTCAGTTGTTGAAACTGGCTCTGGGTGTAAGAGGTTTAATGCATCCTCCTTATCTAGTCCTGAGTCACACCAAGTCCCAGCCTCCAAACCATTTAGTATTAAACTTAATTATTTTTTATAACAAGCCAACAAACCAGAATCACAGAAGAACTTCCTGGATTTCATTTAATGGAATAGACTGGCAGACACTTATCACTGAAGGTGCTGCTCAGGGAAGGAGCTTACCTCCTGGACTCTTGGTCATCCTCACTGCTTAATTATTAGCTTCTTTTCTGCCTCTGTTTTGGACCACTCCAAAGAGCTCTGTTATCTGGCTCCTGTGGAGGGTAAGGAGATGGATGTGAGCTCATCTGTGCTGTTGGGTACTGGTCCCAGGGTTCAAGTATATTGTGAATAGAAGAATTACTGTTTGCTGCTCTCCAGTAGGGACTCTCAGATGGCTTAGAAGCATCACTTAAATAAATTCATCAGATTGGATATCTTGATGTGAAATCCTCCTGACTTCACACAGAGTAAGCTTATTAACACAGTCAAAAACAACTGTAATAGAGCAATCATCATAAAATTATGAAGGGGAGGTCTGCAAAATAATTTCTGTGAGGCAAGGCAGAATACTGGTCTGGAAATATCCTTCTGCACATTTTTTAACTGGAATTTGCTTAATTTACTTAATTAAGACATTTTTTGCTCTTTGCTTTGGGTCAATTGAAAATCCACAGATCTTCACGTATTTTTGCTGTGATAGTAAAGTTGTCTGAAAGCCTTTACACAGTTGCCATCCACACTGGAAATCCACGACCTTGATCTCTGTCTTCTGTGCATGGGAGCCATTAGCTGCACTCCCTAATTTTTTCTTACCTTTATGGGATTGGTCACCAGCCCCGTAGTTTGTGCTGCAGTTCCCTAAATCTCTGCTCTTTGGAGCCTGACTTTGTGCATGTCTATCATGGAATTAGAGACAAGTCTGTGAGGAGAAACAATTTTCTTGCAGTTAAGCATCAAGAAGCATCATGTGCCTCTTTTTGGTGCAATTTGTAAAGTAGTACACACATGAGAAGCATTGGGATCAATCCTAAACATCAGTGTTCACGTTCCATTAAGAGTGCTTCAGCCTTTAATATTTATTCTGTTTTATGTTGGGTAGTTTTACCTCATTATCGTAGTTAAGAACGGATGGGCTGTGTTTGTCACAGTTTTCAAAGGTAATTGAAATATTCTGGGGGCAACTGAAAAAGATCTTCTCATGACTATTTTGAACAAATTTGTGTATCCTGTTATTTCTGGGAAAGGATTGGTAGTCTTCACATGGAACTCTTCTGAATACATCAGTCTATGGTTTATGAAGATACCTGCTGTAAACCTTCAAAACTAAATAGTTAACTTAGTAAGGAATCTGCATTTTTTTACTGAAAGTAATGAATTCTGTATCTATTAATTTAAAATGCATTGTCAGTTCAGGGTAAGACGGTAGACAAGCCTCTTTGTAGTGTTACGTGACAGCACACAGGACAGAAACCTGGAATAGGCAGTTCAGTAGTAAAGCTGAGGGCACAGCTGGAAAGGTGCATTTATTTCAGCCTTCAGATACACTGGAATACTGCTAAATTAAGGAATTTATTGTAGATTTTTGTATTTCATACACATCATTCTGTATGACTGCTAACAAAAAAATGTGTCATAGTTCTGTTAGCTTTCTTCAGTTCACCAATGTAATGCGAATGACCCTTGGAAGCATTATTTTTCTCCCCTTCAGGTCTTTTCAAAAGAAAAACCCAGCAAAGCACAGAATCACAGAACGTTAGGGATTGGAAGGGATCTCAAAAGCAGCATTAGTGTAGCATTCTTGCTGAACTATAGAACTTAGTAGACTTTTGGAAATTCAGTGTTAATAAATTAAAACTCAACTTAATTCTGAACTGGGGGGAAATTATAAATGGGGAAGTACAGGATGTGATTTTCCAAGACCACAGAGTAGTGGAGTGATGTCAGTAGAAGGTCTGAGATCCCTCTCTGGGTTTAAACTACAAACCAATTCTCCTTTTTACTACACTGCACTGTTTGGCCGACGCGAGACTTATATGGAATCCTTTGGTTAAAACCTCATGACTTTTAAGCAGATGTTCTATATCTATACAGTATGCAAACTAGAAATGTAGATGCGTAATCTCACTAACAGTGGAAACCATGTCTTGAAAACCGATGATGACTCCTAGCTATTGCACATCTTCACAGGGAAAAATGTGCTGTAGTATGTAAGGGACTGGAACAGTTTACAAGCCAGTGTTGCAAATCTCGTGACTCCCCAGATGCTTTTTGAAGTGTACAGTTGCACTGCCCCCTGTGGTGTCTGGGCTGGTTGGGTCTCCTCTGGAGAGAAAAGAAGAAAACAAAGGAAAGGGCAGGAAAATTAGATAAAGTTGGGGTTTTTTTTGTATAGGAGCAGGTTTAGTTGGTGCTGCTCTGATTGAGCAGAGAGGATTTAATGCTCTGGGGGTACATAAAGGCAGGAAGAGCCCTCGCTGAAAGAGAAAAGAAAAAACTCTCTTAAGAGGAAGGTCTTCTGACAAACAACAGTATAGAACTAAAATAGAGCAACTAGAGGAAGGAAGTCTGTGTCCTATATATACAGAAAGGGAGGGGGATCTTCTCCATAGTAACAGAGGGAGCAGGAGAGGAGGAAAACGACAACACAAACTGCAAAAGACATTTTAACAAATTGTATAGAAAATAGAGATTTGAGGTTTGCTCTTCTTCCCCTCTTGCAAGGGCCTGTGGTTTTGGTGTGATACAAAATCCCTTAAAAATGTTTGTTTAAATAAATGAGGATTAATTATTTCTGGACAACTATAAAGCTTGTGCTTTAGTATTTGCACTTTATATTCTACATGTCTTATTATTACAAGACTTGAAGCTTGGTTGTTAAAGTTTCAGTTCTATGATTTACACGATACCTGTGTTACTGCTGCATTTGTATTATTGCAACGTAGTTAGAAAATGTTTTGGCGCTGGAATAGGGCCAGATTTTGCAATAGTATTTAAACAAAACTTAGGTGATGTGATCTGTGTGTAACAGTGGCATTGGTGTCGCAGAAGTAATCACTTGCATGGAAATCACAGGTACTGCACTAAACCAAATCTTTCACAATGGATGTGAAACACCCTTTCCTCTTTCTATTAGCACTCTTCCTTTACAGTGATTACCCCTGATAACCAGTAGAGCAGTAACCAGTCCCAATTTTGACTTCATAAGAGACTGCAGCAGTTTTTGTTGTTTAAAATAAAGTATTTTACTCAAATGTTTGCCTTTCATATCAAGTGTATGATCTTTTTGTTTAAAAATCTCTAGTTCTCTGAGCAAAGACTGACGGCAGTGTCTGGTTTCAGGGTGGGATGATTAACTGGAATAGACTGTTTCCTCCTCTACGTCATAGACATAATGCGAATTATCAAGATCATCGCCCGTCTGAACAAGACACACCTCCACCTACTGAGGTTTCTGAAGAGCAGGTAGACATTTTTCTATTTTAAAATGGCATTTAAAAGCAGGTTGGGAATTACCTCTACTATTTTTTTATCTGTTGGCACAGTTTCTTAAATGTTCGCTATAGCAGCACAAATGAGAACATCAGATAACAGGCACAGTACAGAGACGGTGAATTGTCATTACCATCCAAACCAGAGTGAGAGATCAACTTGGGAGTTTTTGCTTTTATGTATAACTGTCTTTTGTATTTAAAGATTTAAAGAGTTTCACTAGTGGGGACTGTTCAAATCTGATAAAATACATGTTTCAAAGAAGGAAGAGCGACAAATAGATTTCATTATTTGTCTTGTTGACATGCAAGCTGTCCTTCACTGCAGCCTCAGGCTTAAGTTTCCAATTCAGTCACGTAAGTCTGTGGAAGTAAGGATGTTATGGCAGTCATGGACTGCAACACACGCTTGATGTAAAACTTGGATGCTTCCCTCAGTAATGGGGTTGACTTATTTCACAGGCTGATGCCACAGAGAAGTTTGTGTCTTCTCTACCAAGCATAGATTTAGACTTACTGTATAGACTGTTAGACTTTTAGACTTTTCTTGATAGTTTTATTCTCAAAAGAGAGAGTGATTTACTAGGAAATATAAGAATTTAAGATTAGCCTTATTTCTGTATTCAGGATTTATTGCATGCAATCAAGTTCTCCAGATTGCGTAGCCCATCTGCAGTTGACTGTGTTTGGCCATATTGCAGTCTAAGGTCTCTGCTTCCCTTGAACAAGAGTAGGTTTCAAGGGTGACTTTTTCTCTGCCTTTTTGCTTTTCCAGAGAGATAAATCAACACTTGCTAGCGCCATGCTGTCATTTCTAGTTAGTTTAAAATGAGGTTGTCCCAAACAGAAATCTTTGCTATGATCTGTTTTCTAGTTCTGATTCAGTGTTAGATTATGTTCAGAATGTTCCGAACTTTTAACTGCACTGGTGGTTTTGACTGCAAAACCTGCTGGGCTGCATCCAAAAAGGCAAAAAAACCAACCCCAACAAAAAAAGAAAATAAAAAATAAAATGCCATGCCAAGGAACACCTTCTGGCAAAACCCAGAAACTCAGTTTGGGCCAGCCTGAAAGCCTACTCAGTGCCAGGTATGGGGTGCGCCAAAAGATCTCCCTGCTGGGTTGGTTTGTTTATTTGTTTTATTGACAAATTCTGCTGATGGGAACTTTTATTGTTGGGCTGGAACTAATGAAATAGTTATTGGTCTGACTTATGCTGGATTCTTAACCAAAGCCTTTAGGCACAGATTTATGGAGCAATATACGCTTATATTTTCTCATGCACAGAAGTTGTACAACTCACCTGTTTGTTGTCATTTGCCGTGCTGTCTAGTTACCCTGAAAAGAAAAAAGTAATATAAGCACCTTTGATTTCTCAGAACTATAGTAGGAACTGCTCAAGTTGTCTTAGAATGGCAGAAATGCATGGTTTTCTTCTGATCTTCAGCTTAAAATTTGCAAGCATTTGCAATGCTTTTGGTACCAAAATCTCTGCATTTCTTGTGGGTTCTTTAGCACCTTACATTACCGTTACATATACCGTTAGTATACATCTCTGTTTCCTGGAGCTGGAGTCAGTTCCTGTGGTTAAAATATACTCAGATGTTAAGAGCTTTTTGTTGTTACAATCTGTTCCCTGCAATGCTGTCTGGATACTTCTGGAACATTGCAATTCCATCCACCACTTGTTAAGGTTAGAATTCACGGCAACTACCGTAAAAACCTTTCTTCTGAAATGTGTTTCTGTGGTTAGCTTTTATTTCACTGTCTGCCCTTTTTCTCATAAAAACACAATCTTAAATGAAAAATCAGACAGAGGAAACTAGAAAGTTACAGGTTATGAAATCCAGTTTGAAGTTACACTGTTGTCGCAGAGGTGTGGAAAGTAACAACTCATTTCTCTCTTTACAAGAAGGTAAGAAACCGACGTTGGGTTGTAAGGGGGGAAAGAGGGCCATGCATGAAAATGACCAGGGCCGTATTTGATACTGTGACAGCCAAGGTAGCCATTTCGAAACATTTTGTAACGATGTATTTAGATAAGAGAATGAGGACCCTCACCTCTGGTCATATTTGAGAGCAGTGTATTTCTCAGTAAACTGCCAAAGCAGAGAAGATTAAAAATACTGAAAGTTCTGGAGGTGTCTTAGAGGAAAGAGAGGGAGGTTGCTTTTAATGGCACCTTTCTTCTTTTGAAAGGCATTTAAAGCACTTCGAATAGCAGCGCACATTGCTTTTTTCCCCTGGGAAGAGTCCTCCTGAGATGCAAAGAGGTTCAGCTGCTGCACTCTGCTGCTGTCGCAGGCTCTGGACAAGCAGAGGGGGAGCAATGGTAGCCCTCAGACAGCTCCTGTAGCCCAGAACTTCCAGAGTGAGGAGCTGTGGGGTCTGGTGACAAGGCCATTTAGAGCAGGGTGGAGAATGCTTTATGCTGCCAGTGGCCATGGTTTATTTTATGTACCCCTCCCTGTCCACAGAATCACAGAACGTTAGGGATTG